CAAATAAATAAATAAAATCTTTAAAAAAAAAAAAAAAAGTACCACGAAGCACAGAAAAATGAAGTAATCTGTTCAAGGTCATATAGACCCTAAATGGCAGAGCAGAGATTCAAATCCAAGCCTTTGGTCTTTGGAGGTTTAGGCTTAGTCACTAACTACCTTCCAAGTTTAGAAATGAGCATATTAATTTCCACAGGGAGGACACTAGCCTGCACAGCATGCAGGGTTCTTTTTTTAAAAGGGGAGGCATAGGCTGGGGGGTAGTCGATAGTGGCCAGGTTAAGTCTGAATGTCTTAATTATATTCTTTAGTGAACAGAGTCTCAGGGGTCAATGGCCTGAAACAGAGTAAGAATCCTGGGACGAGAGTTCCAAGAAGAGTAAGACTAGTTATTACTATCCTCATTTCTGGTGGGAATAAAAACAGATTATAAACCTGATAAAAGTTACCCAGTGGGTCAGCCACAGTTTATTAATCATGCTTCTAGCTTCTGAATTTGATGCCTAGAGTTGCCTGCCTTGTCAGAACAATGGTTTCTAGTTTTAAAAGCTACAAAATTCGAGATTACCAAAGAAAATAAAGCAAGCACATTAGCTTTCATTCCATGTTGTTGAAGATGCAAAAGGGAGAATAGGATTTAAAATACAAAATTTCTTATTCTAAATACAATTTTCAAATTTAACCCACGGCTCTCGACAACAGCCAATCGGGTGGTTCTGTTCTATATGTTCAAGCTGGACACACCTTGGTCTGAACAAACTGATAATGTGCCCGAGTCACCTTGCCTTGGCTGCCTGCCCTCTACCACCATTGGGAGGAGTCCTTCTCCCAGGTTCACACTCCTCATTTTCAAATACAAACCAACCAATCCAGACCCCACACCCCAACCACCTCCTTTATTGCGCGCTCTCACCCTGGGCCACTCCACACCTGCCGTGATCACCCCAAGGTCTAGGTGCCAGACAACCAAGGACAGCCCCTGTACTCCAGAGGCTGCTGAAAGTATTTAAACTAGCCAATCCAAAACCTACTTCTTTGTCTGGCCTGTTCCTTGTTGATGTAGCCACAGTAAAAGTACGTGCCCAGTCCCTCTCTTTCTCTCTGCCTTGAGATGGACCCCAGTGCTTCCCCTCTTGGCCCTCGTGATGAGACATGTACTCTCTCTCTCTCGTGATCTGTGAGTATAATAAACTATCTTTTCAATGGCAGTCACCTGATCTGTTGGCTTCTCCATACCTAAATAATAATAGAACCTATTAAAACACACAGGGCTGGAATGAGATCTTGCCATTTGCAACGACGTGGATG